ATGAAATGTTTCTGTGTTTGAGTTTTTCAGCTACTTTTTGATTGAGAATGTCTTCTACTAGTACGCTTTCTTTTCGGCTCTCTAGAGTAGTCATAACTCGCAAGGATAGAATTTATGTATTCAAATCTACAATTAACTTCAGTCACGCCACAATAAAATAGGGGGTTATTGAGAAACATTTGCCAGATTTGAAATAGTGTATTGTTTAATAGCTCTAAATGTATCACTACTTTAGCTCAATTTATCCAATACAAATTACTTTTGAAGCAAGTAACTTTTTGATAGGGTAGATTATAATATAGAAATTGGAGAAAAAGAAGTTATATCATTTGCACTTTAGATGATAGAAAATAATATTGCTGAACAACAACTCCAAAAACTAGTCTTTTGTGTGATTACTAAACTTTTCGATTTTTCTTTCTCTCTTCATATGAGGATGTTCTTCAAAACCCCAACAAATCAAAGCACCTGCAGTGTTACAGTTCGATCTTTTACGAGAGATTAACAAAGATGGTTCAATCATAAAGAACCTTACTGTCATCACTTGCGAATGGATGGTAACGTCACCAAAAGAACACCTTGTTCATCTGAGGTTTAAATTTATAACTGCTTCAGAAAAAAATAACTGTTCCTTGAATCCACTAAAGTTCTCATATTTTTCATGGAAACTTAATTATTCATCTCAAATAAGCACAAAGTGTAACATGTCAGATAAAACAACAATTTTGTCACCTGGGAGCAATATGATCATAASATTTAACAAGACGATTGATCATAACAAAGAGTTTGAAGGATACAACTTTACAGCTGAATTGACAACAGTTTCTGTCAAGGATTCAAGTGAGTACCTATAAAAATAGCTGTTGATTAGCTAAGAAGGGTATGATTATGCAGGCCGCCATTGACAGCAATTTGGGACATTAAAACAATAGAATGCAAACAAAATACAAACACGGTTTGAAAAGACATAAATAAATAGAGATTTGTACAACAGAAATATCATAATATAGAGCAATTTGGCAAAAAAAGGCAGTACTGTTGGTAACGTTACCTTACATATAGGGGCACATTACATATAGGGGCGAGGGGGAGGGGAGGGATGGTATATGACGTCTGCTTCATCTTGAATGCAGATTCGATAAAAGCAATAACACTGTTCTATGATACTGCTATTCCCCTCGCCCCTATATGTAACGTGCCCCTTTATGTAACGCGCCCATATATGTAAGGTAACGTAACCTTCACCACCCCTCCTCTCCCCCTCGCCCCTATATGTAACTTGCCCCTATATGTAAGGCAACGTTACCAACCCCGGTCAAAAAAGGACTGTTTCTATTGAAATGTTTTACCACAGGAAGACCAAGAGCTCTAATTCCACTGCAAATGTGAAAATCAAAAATAGGAAGGCTTTGGGCTACTGATTGCTTCTCAACATGCAATGAACGCTCGAAAAGCAAAATAACAGCAATAGCGAGTGCTTTGGTTCTTTTTTTAAGTGTGTGTCTTTTTTTCTGGAAGATCAACTTTAATGGAAAACAATTAAGCTTAAATTTTCAGCTAGCGTGGAGTTAAATGGCCACATAAATATAGCTTTATAAGAACTGTAATAAACAAACTTCATCATGTAGTCTCTACGCTCACTCGTTTCGTTTTATATTCGTCACCAACTCGAGAAAATCTATGTATTTTTGCTTAATTTTTTTTAATTATCATTTTTCCTTTTTTTAATTTCAACAGAAATCTCCGCAATCAAATTTCCTAGTAATACAGTGGCCGACTATATTAAAGTTAGAACCATATTACCTCGAATGACAAGTCTAACAGCGTGCGTTTGGATGAATGGTTATGGATCAATGTTAAGCTACGCCGTGCCACTCAGAACTAACGAAATTCTAATCTATTCCAGCCAGCAGTCCAAAACTTTGGAACTGTGGATTGGAGAAATGGAATGGTAAATACCAGTGCAATATGTTATTACAACAGTTTTGCATGATATTATGATTAGTTTCACACAAAAGATTGTGGTTAGCGGTTTTTCTACTGTGATGTCACTGTAAGAGGAGCCGACGGGTTCCTGGGAGAAATATATCTTTACGTTCTAATTCGCAGCGCTCAAACGAACGTAAATTATTTTCTACCTAAATTCCGTCTAAATACAAAACAAGACAACAAATGATGGTTGGATGCTCAGGCAGTCCAGTATCAACAATTTATTAGATCGTTGCAATACAATGAATATCATAAGAATGATCAAAGACCTAAATTATTTGATATATGGCAAGCCGATTGGCAGTATCTTCTAGAATATACATGTCCTTGGCCGTGTCACTTTTCCAACGACCATGAAACTTAAATAATCTTTCAGACAAGCTAGGGTTATTTCGCACTGCAGACGTGGCTCCGCCCGAACGCAAACTAAGCAAACCATAAAGCTTGGAATCATATCCTAGAGTAGCTGAACAATCTTTAAACGACTGGAGACATCCAGGATAAGACCACTTGGAAGAACACAACCTATAAGAATTTGATGACTTAAAGAACCTTAGCCTCCTAATAAAAGCATGGCCAGAAATTCCGGACATTTGAGCCTGGGACGAGTCAGCGGGTTTTCCCACCAAAATAGAGCTTTCTACAAGTTTCCTTGAGGTTTGAAGATCAAATTTTCTACTCTTATGCAACGATCCTTTATCTTAATACAATACTGGGCTAAAATCGAAACGTTCAAAACATCGACAAACGAGTATTGGGATAGCACGCCCTGATCCTTGAGTTCATTAGTGCCTTGTGAGGTGCTCGTTTGGAATGTTCATAGTGTAGATAATATTATTTGCTGGAACACACGTTTCCCTCAGGTATTTTAAACAATGATCATCAGTTGATATTGTGATCTTTTGTTTATACTTGTACATTTCTAAGGAATTTAAAAGGTCTGACATTGTTTACACTAGACTTGATTGGCCTATCTTTCGTTCGTATTTCCCGCTATCTGCGCTATTTACCAGTGCGCGCAAGGCGCCAGTAAAAACCTCCAAAATTAAAGCAGTCCCAGTCTGAAAGCCATGTTTCTAAGGTTTATTTTGGTACCAAACATGGATAATAAAATGGAAGATCA